TCAAAAATACACTTTTCCCAAAAGGTTTCCACAATTTTGACCACTACTGTACATAGTCATCATTGTGCAGAAATTATCAAGGCAGAATCAATTAAGAAGTGGGCACTCCATTAATATATGAACTGTGCTAAGAAACATCCCTCCATTAGAGAATGAAAGAATTTTTATCTGAGTTGTACTGAAGGGCCAAGACACTAAATCACTCTCTTTAAAAATCTGCTTGTTCCTCCTTGCTAGATGCAATGTTTCCAATTTTTTTCAGAGGAAGGCTTTGGAGAATGCAAATGAAGGAATCGTGCATATGTCTCTGATCCATTAAAGCACCTATTGTCATGGTTCCAATCAATGAGACAAATAAATCAGAACTCCGAGGCAGGAAAATTCCTCAAAGAACATGTTTATTGGATACATAATATTGGTATGAACAAAAGTGAAACTAGATCTAAACTTTCCCTCCAAGAATCAAAGTAATGCAATGTAACAATTTCCATCCCTCTACTCATACTATCCAATAGAATGGCTTGGTGGGCTTTCTGATTAAACAATCTTCCTTCTCCCCCTTGGTATGGGAATGATTTTGGTTCCCACAAGTTTTGCTCATGTTTAGATTACCAGAAATAGCTTTTCCCCTCTCCCCTCCCCTGTGGCAACCTCTAATGATAAAGATGGCTGCAACCAGGTTCGTTGTAGAGTTGACACCTATCTCTCTTCAGAAGCACGCAGCAGCAGCACGCAGACATGCAGTACTATGAAAAGACACAACTACTGTGAAAAGGCATAGCTGCTTTAATGAGCCACAAATAGATGCTGTGTTCCCACTGATGTACATTCTAAACCAAATCCTCCAAATCGGATCAGGAGTATTACACAGAATCTTCTGTTCCCGTTTCTCTTTATTTCACATTTTTCCTATATTAAGTTCACTATACCAATTGCAGAATATTTCTAGCAAAAAGAATGGCACGAGAATGCATTTGTTTAAACAATTTATATGGCTGCTCATCTCACATAGTGACTATTTATGCTCATACTGTGAACATATCTTCTAATGTATGCATTTGATATAATTTTTGCCTAAAATATATATCCCTGCAGCATTTTTTTCCCCTAAAATTAATGCTTTTCCCCGACATACTCATTTGCAGCAGAAAATTATTTGGAGAACTGGAAATATTAGTGGGTTTACCTTGCACATGAATTAGGAAAGGTGAACTTGAGTAAGTGCGGATTATAATATGAGCAAAGTGTATTTCTTCCCTACCCCTAATGTGACAACCAGCATTCAGCCCTAGTTTCCTGCCAGCCATTATCCACACAGAAACTTGAACAAATGCTATGGACTAGTTAGCTAATAAGAGTAAATGAGATTAGGGACAAGTTAATCCCTAACAGTGTTTCCACAAAAGACAAAGAGTAGGAAAGGAAATAGATGCAGAAAAGAAGGAAGATGGGTAATGCCTAGCAACTAAGATGGACATAGAGAACTTTGGCAGTTGAAGATGGTGGTTTTAAGAAAGAATATATGCATTGGCTTGTATTCCTGAGTTGAACCAGGCAGAGTTTGCACTGCAGAAGGTTTGGTGATTTGAAGGTAAATCTGAAAACAATTGCTGAAAATCACTATTGGGCATGATCTGGAGGGGGGGGAAGCGCTATAGACTCAAAGAGGAAGGTACACCACAGAAATTGGTCCACTCTAGGGAGATTATCCTCCCCACCAGGGAACAGGACAGAAAATCAAAGATTTACCATCCAGAGAAAAGCAGTGCTGGAAAAACTCATAGAGGGAAATTTATGCCAAGATCTATAAGCCCTTACAAGTAGCCCTCGATTTACAACAGTTTGCTCAGTTGACCGTTCAAAGTCACAACATCCCTGAAAAAAGTGACTTACGACTATTTTTCACACAACTATTGCAGCATTCCCAAGGTCACGTGATCAAAATTCAGATGCTTGGAAACTGACTCATATTTATGATGGCTGCAGTGTCCCGGGGTCATGTGATCACCTTTTATGACCTCTGACAAGCAAGTCAGTGGGGAAGTCAGATTCACTTAACAACTGTGTCACCAACTTAACAACTGCAGTGATTCACTTAACAACTTTGGCAAGAAAGGTCATAAAATGTGCCCAAACTCACTTAACAACTGTCTCGCTTAGCAACATAATTTTTGGGCTCAATTGTGGTTGTAAGTCGAGGACTACCTGCATTTAATTCTAAATTAGGAAATAGGTATGGTACAACACACATGCTGTATATTAATCCAGCATTACAGAATGCTACATATCCAGGCAGAAAACACTAAAATTACCAGTAGAAGAAACAAAAACAAAACAAAATCAGTGACTTATCTTAAAATGGTGAGGAAGAGATAGAAGTGCTGAAGTTTGGCATCTCTAGCCATAAATAATCATGCTAAGTTTATTAAAGAATGTGTCTAAGAAAGCAAAATTAAATGTAGAACAAAAACCACTTGCTTTTTTTGAATCCAGTGATTTAAATAAAAGAGGGGTGGATGAAATCGGTTCTCTGTCAAATCCTGAGAACCCACAGAAATCTCTTGGAAGCTTTAGCAACCACCTGCAACATTATGGCTTCTTTATACTGTAAACAGCTACTCTCAAGGATTCATCTATAGCCTTTCCTGCACAGAATCACTTGTGCAAAGAAAAAAAGAGGTGACTCTGCAGGGCAAGAACCAGTTCCCAGCGTTAATATATTATCTGCCAAGACAGAAAAACTGCTACTGATGCAAATGGTTAAAAGAAGTGAAAGCTTTTGAAATAGGGCTGGAGCTTTCCAATATCAACTACAATCAGCATTTCTAACAGCATTCAAACTCAAAGGATAATCACATCTCCTTTCAGCCAAGGTGTTCACTGTGGTTTCAAATGCAGAACCAACCGCGAAACAGGACAAAGCGAGCCCAGGAATTGCCAAAAAGAAATGTTAAGGGCATTTTGGAAGAACAGAAAACCACCTAGCTCACCTTGGTTGATTAAAAAAAGGAAAAGTACATGGCGGGGTGGGTGGGGGGTAAGACCTATTAGGTGAGATACCACCAAGAAATCCCAAGGCTGTAGGATTGTTCTACATCGTGCTAAGAGAACTCCTGTCTTGCTCAGGAACCTCATCAAATGGAATTATTTCCATACATTAAATCTAACCTGGCTTCCCTCACTTGAGGTACAACTGACCCATGATTCAAATTGTTGCTGCTGCAATTACTGGTAGAAATAGTTCAGATCCCAGTTCTTGAAAGCAGAAAGATAAGCTGATACCCACATAGAGAAACTACAGATAGTCCTCAACTTACAGCAATTCGTTCAATGGCCATAGTTGCAATGGCACTGAAAAAAGTCATCTATGACCGTTTTTCATACTTACAACCTTTGCAACATCTCCATGGTCACGTGATAAAAATGTAGGCACTTGGCAACTGGCATGTACTTATGACAGTTGCATTGTTCCAGGGTCATGTGATCGCCTTTTATAACCTTCCAAACAAGCAGAGTAAATGGGGAAGTCAGATTCACTTAAAAACTGTGCTTAACAACTGCCTCACTTAACAAGTGTAGCAAAAATGAGGCAAAACTCACTTAACAACTGCCTTGCTTAACAGCAGAAATTTTGGGCTCAGCTGTGGTTGTTAAGTTGAGGACTAGCTGCACTTGTTTTAAGGAATGCCACCAATCCACCTATCTCAATTTTATCTGTATTGAACTATCAATGGCTATAAAGGCAGAATTGCTCTTCCCATCCATTTCTATCTGGAGAAACCAAGGACTCATTAAAAGACTTTCTTCATTCAAAATGTAGGCTCTATTATCAAGCTGCACTTTCCTCTATCCTTTTTCTCCCTGTTCCCCAACTTTTGGATATGATAGTAACTACAAAGAAACTTCCCAAAGAGGATCACAGGTTGATGTCCCATCCCTCTTTGCAGGGGCAGGCAACCTTGGCTCTTTTATGACTCATGGACTTCAACTCCCAGAATTCCTGAGCCAGCATGGCTCAGCTTGGAAACTTTCCCTTTCCCCTCAGTGTGGCTGGCTCAGGAATTCTGGGAGTTGAAGTCCACGAGTCATAAAAGAGCCAAGGTTGCCTACCCCTGCTCTTGTGGGATTTCCTGACGTGGATAGAATCTCTTGCACAGCCAAGCATGAAAAATTGCAGCCAGCTTAAAGTATGCAGGAACTGACAGAAAAGTGAAAACAGAAGAGAATGACACCCTAGCAACCTAAGACGCTTAAATTTGTCAGAAAAATAGCTGAAGGATGCCATCTTTCAAAATAATGGATGGGAAAGGAAGATGGGAGGGTTTGTAGGGTTTTTGTAGAATGAATGTAAAAGGCGTCTCATCTCTCACTTCCCATTTCAAAAAAACCCAACCCAAACCCAAAATATGGCCCGCGTTACCCTTTTCAGTGATGTTACCTACCACACTTTATTTATTTATTTATTTATTTATGAGACTTATATACCGCTTTAAGTGCAAGCACTCTCTAAGCAGTGTACACCAGTAAGCAATGTATATATATATTTACATTGCCCCCAACAATTTGGGTCCTCATTTTACCTACCCCGGAAGGATGGAAGGCTGAGTCAACCTTGAGCCGGTGAGATTTGAACCGCTGACCTGCTGAACACAGTCAGCTAAAATGGCCTGCAGTACTGCACCCTAACTGCTGCGCCACCTCGGCTCTCTATCATATCATTCAATAGTTTGCTGTGGCTACTGAAAGCTAATGAGCCCCCAACCCTCATTCGGCTTCCTTCCTGTAGAGCAGAGTTATGGAACCATGGCCCTTTTCTGACTTGTGGACTTCAACTCCCAGGATTCCTGAGCCAGCCATGCTGGCTCAGGAATTCTGGGAGTTGAACTCCCCAAGTCAGAAAAGGGCCATCATTCCACACCCCTGCTGTAGAGGAAGTTGAAGGAGCCAAACCACAAAGCAAGAAGTATTTAGACACAAGTCACATGAAGAACATGCCATACCTTTGTATCTAAAGGCAGGAAAGGGAGATCAAGACCTTTAAAATGTTGGTGCTGGTCCACCTATGGATGGGAAGACTTGAGGCTCTGCAGTTGAATGCCAACTCCTCCTGCTGCTCTCCCTCCTTAGGTTTCCTTGTTTGTAGAATCTCCGCTTCATCTGGAGCTCAGAGGAAAGGCAGTGCAGGGAGACTTTTGATCCCCAGTTTCACACCTGAGGAAACAAGAATGGTTGGTATAAGCTCCTAACCATAAAGTATGAAGGAATAGGAAGCAATCACACTAAAAAACTGAAGCTGATACTGCCGATAATTGTCTACATCAGTGGTTCTCAACCTGTGGGTCGGGACCTCATTTGGGGTCGAACGACCATTTCATGGGGGTCGCCAAACAACGTAGTCCGCCATTTTTTTTCCCTTTTCCTTAGCTGTGCTACTCCCTTTTATTCTATTGGCTTTTGAAAGCCAATAGAATAGACTCTCTTGAATAGAGTCTAATTCTATTGGCTTTCAAAAGCCAATAGGAATTGTCCAGGCTGTCTCTGCCCTGCTGAGCCCGCCAAAAGTCCCATTCTGCAAATGGTGCTGCACCAGTTGAGTAGTCCTTGACTTATGACCGGTTGGGGGTCGCGGCATTAAAAAGGTTGAGAACCACTGGTCTACATCATAATATCATAACTATCCATTCATTCCATACGTTTCTACTGGATTCCATTGAATCCAGTTGGTTCCTTGTCATTACACCAGACATGTGACATTCGCAACGTCATGTGACCGCACAACACATCAGAACTTTTTCCCCATTGCCGGCAATGGGGTGGACATGGTTTCCTCGTGACACATCCGGCCCACGGGCCGGCAGTTTGACACCCCTGCATTACACAGACAAGACTATGAAGCATTATTGGCCATGCAGAAGTAATACAAATACAGAAGTAATTTTCCGTGGCTGCCTTCAGGACAAGGCCCATTGGGCGTTTGCCAAATGGAAAATAAACGTTCAGAGAGTAGAAACCATCACCATCTGCATCGCAGTCTATTTCATGCATATCTCTGTATCAACTATGCAAAAGCCAGCTTTTTAAAATATTTAAGGGAAGAAAGTGAAATAAACTTTTCACTGTTGCTATTTTAGGCAATTGGAACTCAATAACTATGCAGTTATAACCTATATAGAGATCTCCTATAGCAGGGGTGTCAAACTGCCGGCCCAGGGGCCAGTTTCATCATAACAAAGCCGCATCCGCCCCATTGCCAGCAATGGCAAAAAGAGCCGTGGTGCGTCGCGACACATCATGTGACGTGGCGAGTTTGTCACCCGTGTCCTATAGACTCCAAAATCCTTTCTACTGTGTATCATCTATAAGGTAATCCTTGATTTAAAATTGAGCCCAATTTCCGTTGCTAAGCAAGCCACTTGTTAAATGAGTTTTTCCCCATTTTACAGTTGTTAAGTTAGTAACACAATTGTTAAGTAAATCTGGCTTTCCCGTTAACTTTGTCAGAAGGTTGCAAAAGGTGATCACAAGACCTCGGGTAAGTGCAACTGTCATAATACATGCCAGTTGCCGAGCATCCAAATTTTGATCAGATGACCACAGGGATGCTGCAAGGGTCATAAGTGTGAAAAAATAAATCATAAATCATTTTTTCAGTGCCATTGTAACTTCAAATGGTCACTAAACAAATGGTTGTAAGTCGAGGACTACCTGTATTAACAATACTAAAATAATGTCAGTTATATTATTTAATTCATGAAAATGTAGGAAGTTTTGGAGCTGCTGAAAAGAAAACAACCCAGCCAGAATACTGAAGATTTAAAGGAGAGAGAGAACAGTAAAACGAATGAGGAAGGAAACGTACCCACAAACACACCACTATTTCATCTTTCTTTTTATTTCACTTGAAAAACTCAGTGGCATATGATCAGGAAAATAAGATATTATAAACTTGATGTTTAACAAACTCAATATTTTTAGTGAAAATATTCAACAAACAATGTATCATACAGGTGTAAAATCTGCCAGAATCTACACTCTAAATTCTGATGGCAGAAATGATTTTGTATCAAAGTTGTTCACACATTCACACAAAACTCTCTTATTTCAGAATGACTTATTTCTCAATGGGTTTAGAACTATAGCTTTATTATACAATCTCATTAATTATGCTCTCTAATGGAAGCATTCTGCATTAAGAAAAGAAATCTCTTTATATATTAGATGCAATGATGCTTTTAATTTGATCCTTGATTTTGAATAGAAGAGGAACTATGTTTTCACTGTGTATCCATCATTCACTTTAGCTCGCTTCTGTGAAATGTCTGGGCAAATCTTTAAGAACAACAGAGGACAATCTCTCTGATTTTGCATTAGACAGACTTCCTTTTGGCTAGAGTAAATCTAATTATATTTATTCTATAAAGTGCCCATAATTGAGTTGGATGGCAACAGGAAACAGACTGTACTGAAAATATAGCACGCAGAAACTCTGCAAATGAACTGGCACTGTAAAACAATGGTTCACTATCCTTTGCACAAGATTGATGGCAAGATTCTGGATGTAATAGCCGACTTCCAAGTATGTATAGCCATAATCATGGAATTTATAGACTTTGGCCCAGTTACTATTCTACAGCCCAATCTACTTTATAGAATTGCTCTGATACAATGAAGATCCCCAATGTTCACCACCTTTAGTTCTCACTGTAAGGCAGAATACAAATAAAATAATAATAGCATCTCTTCCCAGGTGTGATTCCAAACCATAGGGAAATAATATGTGAAGAGGACACAGAGTTGCACATCACCCCATCTCTATTAGATCCATTACTGATCCTCATTCAGCCATTGTGAAAGTCTGAATGTATGCTGTAGGATCAATTTGAATAATCAAATTGGTTGTTCTCAAACTGGACGAATTGGAAATTTCTCTACATACACAGAAACAACTTTTTCAAAAATCAGTCCAAAACTCTGAATTGATCTGATTCAAATTAGATTCAAATCACTGGATCAATATGGATGAATTTTCCAAATCAAATCACATTTTGCTTAATTCCACAATTTAAGGTATGCTGCTTCAACTAAGTATAGTACTTGCATTGCCAGTTGTAAGGAATGTCTAAAGTATGTTTCGTTTCCACACTTTAAATTTACTTTATTAAATATGAGAATATATTTAATCCATGTTGCTAATAATCTTTTCTAACTTTGGTACCCTGTAAAACTATATAATTTATTTGTAATTACCTGGAATAATTTCAACATTTCATTATTCATTCTATTTCTTTCTTCTCTTTCTCTTCTTTAAAATGTCTAATTAAATAAACTATCCAATAAACTTCTATCAGGAAGGAAGGAAGGAAGGAAGGAAGGAAGGAAGGAAGGAAGGAAGGAAGGAAGGAAGGAAGGAAGGAAAGAAAAATTGTCTACACATTTGATTTAGACATTTTTCAGTATTGGTAGGAAAACAGTATACTTAAGTATATCTATCCAGTTTGCGGCAGACACAAACAAACAACACAACAAAGCAATAAAAATATATTCAGCCACACTGTAACTGGATAATAAAAGCATCACGACAATGAAGTTGAAATAAGGTTCACTTTCACTTCTTATTCCATTTACAGACAAATCCTACGATAGTTCCCAAAGTATTTGTTCTTTTTGATTATTCAAAATAGGAGATGAGGAGAGAAGATACTGTTATTTATTTATCTTGTAGATATATCAGGCACCCAACACACAATGACTCTTCAAGTTGGAGGGAATTAGATATTGTAAAGAAAACAAACAGAAGCCTGAGTCTCATGAAAAGGAATTTTATGTTCATGCTACAGACCAACTGCTTCTTCTGCAAGGTTTTCAGTACAGGTAGTCCTCAACTTACAACCACAACGGAGCCTAAAATTTCTGTTGTTAAGCAAGACAGTTGTTATGTGAGTTTTGCCCCATTCTATGATACAGTTTTGCCCCATTTCTTGGTACAGTTGTTAAGTGAATCACTGCAGTTAAGCTAGTAACACAGTTGTAAACTGAAATCTAGGTTCCCCGGTGACTTTGTGTCAATATTGCAACTGGCGAACCTAAAAAGTAAGCAGAGCTGAGACACTCCAATCTCTAATGCAAAACTTTATTGAGCACATCATTTGGGCACAGATGAAAGGAAAACCAGCTCTGGTTATTTTGCACCTAAATTGCTATATTAAAAATATAGAAACCTCCCTCCCCTCGTTAGTGCAGGTGACATTATCCAATTATAAGTCAGAGAATTATTACGAGAGAATGTCTTTAGTTCTCAGTAAACAAATCTTGGTTCTTATGGACTGGCCTCTTCTATATAAGCAGTTTGAATTCCATTCTCCCTCCCTTCCCGAGTTTGTAGGCAAGCTAAAAAGCAGTAATGGCTGACACGGCATAGGCCTTCTTCGAGGCGTGACACTTTGCTTGTCAGAAGACTGCAAAAAGTGAACACATGACACCGGGACACTGCAACCATCATAAATATGAGCTAATTGCCAAACGCCCAGATATGACCATGGAGATGCTGGAATGGTCATTAAATAAAAGGTTGTAAGTCAAGGACTTACATTTCCTAGAGGCGGGATTTTGCAAGGTGGCACTGAGCCCTGCAGGGGATGGGGAACAGCAAGAAGCTAACTATGCTGGAACTCTGCTCCTAGCCCTCCAAGAAAATCTCCATTTGCGACCCCTCCCACATCCCCCTCCCAATTTAAGGAGGGCCGCTGAGACTACTTTGGTCCCTCGAGTCTGTGCTGTTGAAGTTCTACTCTGCAAAGCACTGGAGCCTCCAGGATAGCAGGAAAATATTCAATTTTGAATTCCCTGAAGGAAGACTATAGCGAAAACATTTTCTCAAAGGTGATGCAGTTATAATGGAATTGCTATTTCAATTGTGAAGTGTTTCTCTTGAAAAATATCCCCAATTGGGTCTACAATGTATTCCAAGAGCTAGGAAAAATAAAATTCTAGTGTGGATTGTCACTTACATTACAGCTGAAATTTTAGGAGTCATCAGTTACTGTTGATAATAAAGTTTGAATGTAAATGATAAAAAAAATAAATGCATTTGATGCTGTTTTGTTACTGAACTGCTAAAAAGGAAGGCAATGAAATTGCCTCTGCAGAATGTTTGAGAAGGGGCCTTTGGACAGAATAACTAAATTTTTAAATTATTAGCATGAAAAGTCTGT